CACTCCTGTCCCCTGCCCACCCTCCACGCACGGCTGGGACTGAGCAGGAGAGACCAGCCTCTGCCCAGCAGCCCCCCTGCCCTGTGCCCCTGGCCCGCGTGGACCTGTTGCAGCACTGCAGCAGGCGGGCGCGGGGAGGGGGCTCAGGTGCTCTTACCAAGTGTGTCATCCAGCAGCTCCGACGAGCTAGGAAACCCTGGGTGGCTCCAGCCAGCGCTCACGGCCCTTTGCCTTCCCCCTCGTGGTCCTCGGGGTGGGCCGGGAGCTGGTCCCATCACGCTGGGGGTCCTGGGCCCCACCAGGGAGGCTCTTGCCGTAATTGCAAGGCATGAGGCTGTGTGCACGGTGCCTGCTGTGTCAGTTTAATGATTTTTAATGAGCAATTACCTTTCGTCGTTCCCCTAATTTCTGAATATCAATAAAGTTAATTAAACTCTGCATGTGGGCTGCTCTGGAGCAGCACAGGGGAAAGGTAGGCGCTGGCGAGGGGTGCGGGGGGCGGGGAGAAGGCAGGCAGGCAGGTGGGAGCATGTGGCAGGGCCCAGTGCAGGCCTGGAAGGAGCTGCTGCCAGGACAGGAGCCTGCTTGGGAAGGGAGAGGGGATGCAGCAGCCCTGATCCTGCCCCTGGTCTCAGGCTGGGGTATGCCAGGCCCCAGTGTGTTGCATGTGCTTTGCGTGGTCAGGGGTCCCCAAAGGCCCTGGGTCTGCGGGCAGTGGAGCTACGCTGGGCAGTGGTGTCTGCGGGGAGGCCAGGACGGGCTGTTGCCAGCAGGGTTCGTGCGGGCACGGGGCTGGGCGTGGGGGCAGCTGGCAGAGCTGCGGAAAAACCTGGGGCTGTGGATGTTGCTGGGAGGAGAAGGCCGAGCACTGCAGACCCCTGCGCCTTTCCTTGGGGTCCCTGCCAGCTCCAGCTCTCTCCAGATCAGAGCCCCCACCAGGCTTGGGTGGCCCAGGGGGCTTGGAGCAGACGGCTCGGTGCAGCTCTGGGAGGAGTCGTCCTGCGCCCCGGCCCGTGCTGCAGCTGGCAAGTGGGTGGTGCACAGATGAAGGGGCGCGTGCAGCCGCCACTCTGATCCCTGGCCTGGAGAGCCGGCGGCACTTGTCTGGGGCCGGCGGTGCTCGCTGGAGCATCCCTGACCCTTTGAAGCATGGCTGGCTGTCAGGCCCGGCAGCTTGTGGGGGCCTCCAGCTTCCGAAGGAGTTGCGCCATAACCTGGGGGCAGCCGTGAGCAGCACGTGGCCTCGGTGCTGGAGAGAACCACAGCCATGTCAGAGCCACTGGGCTAAGCTGTGCTTCGCTCCCTGAGCCGGGGGGAAGGGGAGGGCGCAGCCACTGGTCCCCATCTCCAGTCTCCACGCTGCCTGTGAACATGGGGACAAGGCTGGATCCAAGCCTCATGGCTATGTCCTGGTGTCAGCAGGCAGCCGTGGCCCCAAAAAGAGATGCCCCAAGGACAGGGAAAGCTGGCACGGTGGAGAGGGCAGTGCCAGCACCAGGAAGGGGGCGCTGGGGGCACCTGGGGAGGAGCGGAGCCCCTGGCTGAGCAGCGAGCTGGCTGCACCCGGCAGCAGGAGGGGTTGATACCAGCAACATGGGGCCCGCTTTGGTGCCTGCCCCAAAGGCCAAGCCGCTGCCTGCTGCGGTGGGTGTGCCGTGGCTGTGGCCGTGGCAGGGCCCAGACGGACCCTCTGACCGCGGCGGTCCGGGGGTGGGGGGCAGAGCGGAGGAAGCTGCGGCTCTGCCTTTGCCGGATGCAGCCCGAGAGGATAATTTAGCCTCCAATCAATTCTTTAAACGCACACAATTGAAAGATTGCCTCTGAAAGCTGCCCATAAACAGTGCGGTAATGGATTCCTCTCCGGTAACAGCCAGCCGGCATATAAACTTACACAACAAGGATCCCCGGGCAGCCCTAATTCATCAGCTGCCGAAACAAGAGAAATGAAATGGAGCCACGCCGGGCTGGAGCCGTGGCCCCGGGGTGGGTGGCTGGCAGGGCCGGGAGCGGGGTGCGGGGCCTGCCGGGCTCTGGCTGCCCGCACCCCGGGTGCAGGTGGGTGGCGGGCACGCAGCCCGGGCCCACCGGCACGATGACTAAGCTGCGCCCGGGCTGCTGTCCAGGCAGCGCTTGCGAGGCCCTTTCCCAATGCCGGGCACGGGCGTCATGCGGCCCCGCCTGCCGCTCAAGTGCAGCCGTCCCCGGCGACGCGGCGTCCTTGGTGCCGGGAGCCTGTGGCGGCCGCATTGTGCAGCAGCAGCTATTGTGTTGCAAAGCGGTGCTTTGCCGGAGCATGCCGCCCCCCTTCTCCCGTCTCCCTTCTCCCTGCTCCCTCCCCAGCGGCTCTGCCAGCACTGGGGAAGCAGGCCAGGGCCCGGTGCGAGGCTGGCTCGGGGAGCTGTGGGTGGTGCGACGGTGGGTGGGGGGCCCTGTGCCGGGCGGCCTCGTTAGCCAGCGAGCGCCCATGGTAGGACTTGGCAGAGATAGCATGGTGGGGCCCGGGCAGGGTCACGGCCCTGCAGCAGCAGGAGTGGGCTGATGACAAGACTGAGCCTGGGGCAGCAGAGACGGCACAAAGCTCGCTGCATGCAATGCTGCACCCGGGAGCAAAGGACCTCCCCGGCCCCTACCGGCACCCTGCACCCCACGCACGTGCTGGGCTGGGCTGGGCCCTGGGCCACCCCTTGCCTTTGCCCCAGCCCAGCCCAGCCCCCCAGGTCCCCCCACCCAGGCCCCAGGTCCTGCAAGCGAGCACCTGGAGCCTGCTGGGGTCCCCTCGGGTTCCCCCGTGTCCTATCCTGCCCCTCCCATGGCTGGGGGCTGGGAGGGGGTCGCAGCAGATGCCAGCCCTCAGCACAGGGAACTTCCAGTCCCAGGCTGGCTCTGGGTGCCCCGAAGGCTGTGCCCCTCCCGGGACAGGGAGGGCACATAGGTCAGGGCGCCGGATGGGAGCGGCCGTGCAGGTGGGGCAGGGCTGCAAGGTGCAGGGCGCCGGCTGGCTGCTCAGCTCCAGCGGGCACTGCCACATGTATAATTTAAATCCAGTAACAAGATGTGCTGAAGATTTCAAATATTCATCAGCTGCGCGAGCGCTGCCGCGACCTGGGGAAAATGGAGGCAGGCGGCTGAAATTCAAGATCAGATGGAGTTCGGTGACCCGGCTGCCATGGAGGCCTCTTGCCCGCCTGGCACCACCTGGGCCTGCCTTCTGCTGGCCCAGGGCCCGGAGGAAATGCAGGTCGTGGCGCATCTCCATGCACTGAGCCTTCTCTGCATAGCGACGCTGGCACTGGGGGGGTGCATCCCCTGTCACGCTCGCTGGAGCAGAGCGCCCTGGTGCCAGCAGCAAGGGGAACCCACCTGGGCATGCACAGCTCCTGCCTGCATCTGCCACCCACCCCAGGCTGAGGGGCAGCAGCCTGCCCGAGCCCCCGGCTACGAGTGCAGGCTCCTGGGGTGCTTGAGGGAAGGGGGCAGGCGCGGGGCTGGGACCTATCCTGCAAGCGTGGGGCTGGGCTGTGTCTGGCAAGCTGCCTGTCTTTGCAGCACTGCTTGCTAGGGAGGGGTGCATAGCCTTGCGGCACCGTGCTCTGCCCCAGCAGCTGCAGGCAGTGCCTCCTGCTGAGGCCTGCAGCCATGCCAACTCTGTGGCCATTGGAGCCATGTGTGCTTGGAGTTATTCACAGCCCTATTGACCAGCCCAGAGTAAATCCGCAGTTGCCGCAAGCAGCGTCTGGTGCAAGCCCCAGTGGCTGCCCATGCCCCCCGCCCCGCAGGGCACTGCTGCCAGCTCCTCAGCAGTGGGGGCAGGCATCTGGCTCGGGCACTGCCTTGGGGTGGAGGGTCCATTGCATCCACCCTCGAGGGCACGGCCAAGCTGAGCCCCAGTGCAAAGCGCGTGCAGCGCCAGTCTCTCCCCCAGGAGGTCGCCTGCCCCCTGTGCCCACCGGGCCCTGCTCCAGGGCCTGGCCCAGAGCTGTTGGGCCGAGGGTGGGCACGGGGGTGGGGGTGGCACGAGGGAGATGGGGGGAGGTGGCATCGCTCTTCCCTGCTGGCTCCATATTCTTCACGGCTTTTGTTCCCAGGCGGGCGAGATAAGGAGCAATAATTAAATCTTCCCCGGGGCACAGCGGGAGGCTTTGGCAGCAGAATTACCGGGCGCCTGCATTCGCCGTCCGGCTTGAACGGGCTTGTTCGGCAACGGGGAGAGGGGGACCCCCGCCTGCCTGGCTTGACGCGGCGGTGCAGCAGCTGGCCGGGGCATGGGGGCTCCGGTCCTGTCCTTCCCGAGGCAGCTGGGATGAGGGGGCCTGCTCCCCCTGCCCGGTGCTGGGAGGTATTTGTACAGCACCTTGCACGGGGCTGCCCACCCCTCCCCTTGCCCCCGGGAGCCTCCGGGCTGGGCCCTGCTGGCATCGTCAGGCAGCAGAAGGGGCTGGAGCTGCCCCACGGTGCTCAGCACCCCAAAGGCCCCTGGCTTGACCCCTACCCCACGGCTCAGGCGCCAGGCCCAGCTCCAGCGCTCGCACTGCAGCCTCTGACGCAGAATAAGCTTTGCTGCCTGTGAGCTGGGGGGGGAGGGGATGGGGGGGAAGAAAGCAGCTTCTGTTCCCCGCGGCGCTGGAGCAGGCCAGGAGCTCAGCCAAGCGGCAGCTCCAGCCAGCGCCGCCCCCCGCGCGGCCATGCAGGCGGGAGATAAGGCGCATGGAGAGCGGCGCGGGGCTGGCAGCCGGGCTCCTGCCTGGGCTGCGGGGGGATTAGTGCGCCTGAGCGCTCGGTGTCGTGCGGTACCCTTGTGCCCACCGGGCTGTGCGACGGGGTCTGGGCATGGGCCAGGCCTAGCTCCCAGGCCCCTCTTGCTGCATCTCCAAATGTCCGGGGGCAGGGAGCTCCTGGGGGCCTCTGCCCGGTCTCACCTGTGCCAGCACAGGCCAAGCGGCCAGTCCTGGGCACTGGGCTCCCCTCCCCTCGCACCCCAGGGGCCACGGTGCCAGGACAGGATGCTCTCCCACGAGGCTGAGGCCGCCTCTGCAGCGCGCTGGGGTCTAGTGCTCCGGGCCCGGATTGCACCATTCATCATCGTCGTGGCCGGGGAAATTGCTGTGCAAATGCATTTGCTCCGGAGGGAGAGCGTGGCCATCGACGTGTGCTGGGCGCGGCACCCGGGGGCAGGGGGTGGGAGCCTGCTGCTGCAGTGTGGCAGGCTCCAGCTGCCTGGGAGGTCTTGTCTGCTCTGCCCCCAACCCCTTTGCTGCCCCTTGTCCTCCATGGGGCTGGAGTGCGCCTGCCCCCTCATCCCACTGCCTTGCTGAGGCTCACGAGGCAACCCCTTGCTTGGGGGGCTGAGCCGGCTCTGGGCCCATTGGTGCCAGGGCCAGGGATGGAGAAGGGCTTGGACACAGGGGCAAGCTGCACCTGCTGCCTCTGGCCCTGCTTGGGCATTGCTGCTTGCAGGGGCTCCAGAGGTGCCTTGTGCCCAGGCAGGTCCCTACTTGAAGCCACGGCTCCGAGCCTGCAGGCCCCGGGAGCATGATGCTGGGGGCAGAGCAGGAGCTCCTGGCATCTGCTCAGGCCATGCCTTCCATCCCCACACCCCCGAGACCTGTCCCCGCTGGGTGGGCATCCCGCTGAGGGTGCGGCGGTGCCCCGCAGAGGGGCAGGCGGGCACGCCGCACGGGGTGGCTCCGTTACCACGGCACGACTGTAATTTCCAGGCACTAGTTGACATGTCAGTCGTCATTTGTCATCGCAGCGCTACTCGGCGATGCTCGGGGGGCCCGTTGAGGCGACATGTGACACGTGTCAGCGGGTAAATGACTGTTCAATTCAAGGAGAAGCGCGCGGCGCACAAGGGCAAACACTTCCCCGCCTGCGCTACCAGGAATGTACAAGCGCCGCAGCCCCGCCCAGCTCCTGGCACTGCCACTCCCGGGCACCCCTGCCTGCGGGCATTGCCTCCTCCCGGGGACAGCCCCTCCCAGCCACGACCTGCCAGTTGAGCTGCTGGTTTCCTCCGGCGTCCAGGGCCTGCGGGGTCCCGGAGCTGGGCCCAGCTGTGCTGGCAGCAGTGCAGCAGCTGGCAGGAGCAGGGGGGAGCAGAGGCACCAGCTGCAGCGTCCCTCGAGCCTGCCCCGGCCCCGTGCCTGGGGGACTGCCTCTGGCAGCTGTAACACCTGGTGTCTCGCTGGTGCTAGCGGAGCCCCCCGGGCACCACCATGCAGCACCCAGCCCGCTCCCACTGACCCTGGTGCCTGTGAGCACAGGGCAGGAGTGAAGGCTTCCCCCGTCCCTTCCTGCCGCGCCTCAACCGCCTCCCGTGGGGCTGCCTGTCTGCTCTCCTTAGTGCTCCTGGCTCCGGCACGTGCTGCTGGGCACCTGCTGGGGCCTACGCGGCTGCTGTGCCAAGGACAGAGCACCCTCCATCAGGCCATCGATTTTCCTGCATCGGCCCTGGCAGCCAGCGGCGAGGGTGGGGGGGAGCCCTGGGCTCCCGGAGCTGGGGGTGGGAGCGTGGCTGCAGCCCCTCCTCACCCTGGCAGGGAAAGGTCACCGGCACAGCACGGCGCAGCCTTCGCAACGGTCTGTTGCTCGTGACCTTTCCTGGGGCTGCTCTGCTCCCGGCGGCTGGAGCACGGCGTGTGGACTGGGAGCTGGTGCCCAGACCCTGCCCCTCACCTCCCCCGGGGGCGCCCGCTGCGGTCCAGGATGAGGAGGCAGGGAGGATGCAGAGTCCCGGGGCAAACGCCCAGCCAAGGGTGGGTGTGCGTGGGCACATGACAGGCTGGTACCAGGGCCAGGCAGGCAGCTGGGGAAAGCACAGGGCTGGCCCTGCTCCGAGCATCCCCATGGGGACCAGCCCAGGCGCCATGCAGCCCCCAGCCCTGCCGGTGCCCCTCACTCCTGACCCGCAGCCCCCGGCTACCCCAGAGGGAGCTGGCCCATTGCTCCATGCACTGTGGCGCGAGGGCCCCCAGCCGCAGGGGCTGCACTGGTGCTGATCTGGGTGCAGTCCCCAGGCGCTGCCCACCACAGTGCCACCCGTGGGAGCCCGCGTGGTGGGTGCAGGGGCAGAGGGGGGCAATGAGGGGGGAAGCTGCGCAGAGAAGCAGGGACAAGCGACAGGAAGGTTAATGTGAGGCGCCGGGCGCCTGACAGCTCATTCATCACGGCTGCCAGCCTGGCCCGCGGGGCACGGCCAGATTAGATTTTAAATTGGAAAACAAACCCTGCCTTGTACAGTCAGCACCCGGAGGCCGGGCAGCCCGGCCACGCGCTGCACCGCACCGCACCGCACCGCACCACGCAGGCACCCGCGGTGCGGGCACCTGTCCCGCCTCCGGCTCCTGCCCGTGTTGAATAGTCTGGTGGAGATGGAGGGCTGAGGCCTCCCCAGCTGCTTGGGGGGGCTGCCGGCCCTGCCTGCCCAGCGTCATGGCCATGCCCCAGCGTCAGGGCCGGCTCAGCTGGGTGCTGCGAGCCCCTGCCCTGCCCCTGCACATGGGGCTGCCCTGCCATGGGCACCGCGGCCTCCCGGGGTTGGGCCAGGCCCCGCGTCCTCAGTTTTTTGCTGGGCTGGGACACGGCCGCGCAGCGCGGCTCCTCGCAGCATTGTCCGGGCAGCGCTGCGGCTGCCGGCTCCCTCTCGGGCTCAGCTCACGAGGGCCCCCCAGCCCCACCAGCCCCAGGGGACGGGTGCAAGACCCTGCGGACCCTCCAGGCAGTGCCAGCTCCGTCTTGGGCATGGCTGGGGCGCGGGGCACTCGCCAGGCTCAGCCTGGTACCCCGCCCGAGACCCCCATGCCAGTGCTGCCAGGGTGCCCCCTGCTCTCCGCCAGAGCCCCCACCAAGCTGGCTGCTTGTTACTAGGGAAAGGTACCTGGAAACGGGCTGATTGCTGCTTGATTGGAACGAGAGCAGTCGCTGCCCAGCCACTGCCACTGCCACTGCAAAGCCTGGCAGCGCAGCCCGGCACGGGGAGGGAGGAAGGGAGGGAGGGAAGCAGGGAGGGGGCCGGTGCCCCCATGCTCCGGGGAAACCCAGGGAAGCTGACCCCAGCTCCCCATCCCTGGCCCCCCAACCCCCCCAGGAGTCCACGTTGGGGGCTCCCGTGAGCTGGTGCAGGCACCCGGGTGCCAGCCCCCCGGTCAGCGCCTGGGCAAGCCGCTGTGCCCTAGTCTGGGTGGCTGTGGGGTCACTCGGCTGCTGGGCCGTGGGCCGGGGGCTGGTCCCTGCACCGCTTCCCCGAGCTGTCCGGCTCCCAGGGGCCTCTGTGGGCGGCAGGGCCTCAGCTGCCAGGAGAGCCCATGCGTGGCAGCCGGTGGCTGCAGGACCACAGGGCCCGTGTCTGGGCATGGGGGCGCAGCGCCGCAGGCAGCAGGTAACGAGGCGGGGGGCCGGGCTGCAGCGCTAATCCCCTATTACAGCGACGCAGGATCCCGGTGCCCTCCAGTATAAACTCATTAACTTTTATGGGCTAATAAATGGATCCTATTAAAAAATAATTCCCTGCGCGCTGGGTGCAAGTTCGCCTCTGGGCTGCTGCAGTGAGCGCCGGCGCCTGCGCCCGAGCCGCTTGCAGGGGGGCCGTGGCAGTGGCGGCCCCCGGGCACGTAGGCTCCAGGCCCAGGCCAGCTGCTCCCCAGCCAGGGGAGGGGACGTGGATGTGGATGTGGCTGCACCAGGCTCGGCCTGGCCCCATGGCGCTCCTTCCCAGGCTGCAGGGCACCGGTGCGGCTGGGGG